GTCTAAAGCATTGCCGTGTCATGCTTGGTTATATATCATCATCACCATTGTCATTATCATCATCACAGTCATCATTATCATCATCATCACAGTCATCATCATCATCATCACTGTCATCATCATCACAGTCATCATCATCACCATTGTCATCATCATCACAGTCATCATCATCATCACCATCATAATCTATTTTACTTTAAATTATTTTGTTATACCTTGCTTTCCCCTTGAGGGCAAGGACACCACAACAGCTTTAGTGTTAGCACGACCATCATAAATATTATCATTATAATCATCCTCACAGAAGTCTCCTGTATTTCTTGTTTAGTATCGATGAAGCGTTGTTTTGGGTTAATACCTTAAAACCATCAGGGGGGTGCAACCTACTTGGTGCACTAAAACATGTCCTCAAGAGAAAGGAGATTGACTCAATTATTCTGGTTCTAGGAAATACGTAAGTATCCTGCCGCAATAGAGGCTTCGCTTCGCACCACCACATGATGACAGCCATGACAGTATGCAGGAACAATAATTGACTCTGGTCTAACCTGATTTATATTAGAAAGAATTCAGTTTCCTAGGGGGATGGGGTGTCTATTGCATGTAGTGCCTCTTGTCATGGCTGCCAAGCATGATGGTGCAAATCCTCTATATCACTGTTTTTAGTACCGTGGTATTCAAGTAATATGTGGTATTTTTATTATAACATGCAGGCCTGATCAGAGTCCACAGATAATCTGCGATTATGTCAGGGAATCTATAGCTGGACGTTCTGTCCCATTACATACTGTGGCATATGACTGCACGGTGTCCAGTACCAATGTAAGTATATGTTCGATGTCTGTGTGTGTGTTTTCTTTTTCAAATTCTAAAAATCAAATAGTTGTGTTATCCTCGAGCAAAGAAATTTTTCGGTAATTTTTTTTTTAAACCCTGAAACACCCCCTGGGCTGATCTAAGTCAGCTAGAGCATTGTTTCTGCTGCCTGTATTTTGATGGACAAGCATAGGCTTGTGTACATGGTGTCATAATGTCCTGTACTGTGACTGAATGTCATGTGGAGTATTTTTTCAGTTTTTTTACATTATTTTGTTACTAAATGAGACTTACTAGCAAAGGATAATTGAGTTGTGTTGCAGCAAAGTTGCAGCCAGTTGGTTTATCATAGATCTGTTTAGAACCTCATTTAGTCATTGCTAACAGTCATAGAGCAATCCTAATTGCACATTTCAGATTTTCCTGAATGACCTTGCCGAACAGACTAAAGGCCGATACCACTGTTATGCTTCAACCAGTGATGTAAGTATCAATCACACATCCGTCAAGAAGAATAGAAACAATTTTTTTAGTGGATGTTAGTGTGTTTTGAAAATTAAATGGAAAAAGACAATATATTTTATAACAAACTAGGGTAGGTGAATTATCTTTCCTCCTTCCTTCCTTCTTTCTTCCTTCCTTTGTTCTTTCCTTCTTTCCTCCATTTGCTCATTTGTTAATCCTTTCGTTCCTTCTTCCTTCCTTTTAATTCATTATTAATTTTTTAATTTCATGTCTTTTATTCATTTTTAATTTCTTTCAAACATTCTCAGTTCTTTCAAATTTTCTTTTGCTTCCATTAAAGACATTTGCATTTCTTTCATGTTTACTTTCTTTCTCTTTAGGAGCAAATAATGACAGGTACAGACTTGAGTCTGTTGAATAATGAAGTGAAAAAAGCAAGACAAGTTCTGAAAAAGATCCAGGAACTAAGAGCTGGAGCATCTTTGAACCAAAGCTACTCCATGGAGGATAGGGTAGGTCACACTGCTTTTTTTTCTTTAACCAAGTGTGTGAGGTCACTGAGGATCAAAATATGGACCTCTTGCTGAGCAAACATTACACTAACCAACCATGCCACACTTGCTCCTTAAAACAAGTGTGTGAGGTCACTGAGGATCAAACTATGGACCTCTTGCTTAGCAGGCAGCACACTAACCAAGCAAGCCACACTTGCTCCTTAAAACAAGCGTGTGAGGTCACTGAGGATCAAACTATGGAACTCTTGCTTAGCAGGCAGCACACTAACCAACCAAGCCACACTTGCTCCTTAAAACAAGTGTGTGAGGTCAATGAGGATCAAACTATAGACCTTTTGCTTAGCAGGCAGCCAACCAAGCCAATTTTTTCGTTTGATTCTAGAGTATGGACAGTTACGCTTTGGAATCCTTTTCACTGGAAACCACAGAAAATCAGATTATTTCTACCAGAAATTTTACAGACAGCTCACCACTGGTAGTTGAGCACCCATCATTCCCGGCAAGAACATCACAAGACTGGCTGCAACAACATGGATTAAAAGGTACTCACCATATCACATGATATATCACACGATATATCACATGATAACAAAGGTTGCAGAAAAGTAAATGGTTTGAACCCGGGTGTTAAAGTTTGTTGTGAAATGTAGTTGTCTGTGTGAGTGTAGTCTTGAGAAAGACTGTTGTTGGTGGTGACTGATGTTTTGACAACCTAAGCGGAAGCCATCTTACACTCACCCAGACGATCACATTTCACAACAAAGGTTGCAAAGCGATGTTGCTCCAATTACCACTCAAGCAACAAAAAATATGTTGTGCAACAAAATCATTGGTGTACAACAATTATTATTCTATCATCATCATCGTCATTATATCATTTTGTCTGCTTTCTTACAGCTAAAGGTCTTAATCTGTACCAAGTACTGGCACCTAATGCATATTCCTATGTGGATGGATATATCTCATCTATCAATAGAAAAGTCCAGTCAAAAGTTCATGAAATGGTAAGACTGCATTAAAAAACATAGCTTGGACCCCTTGATACTGTGACAACCTCGCTGCTAGTGTGGAGCCATGACAGTGGTGGAACTGTGCCCCAGCATTCTGATTGGATAAACATTAACCTAGCGGGCCAAAATGGTTCCAAAAAGATGTCAATATGTTCTTACCTGGTTTTATTTCAGAGTATGGCCCAGTTCCGATGGCATGATGGAACAGTAAAGAATGTACATGTTGATCCAACTCTACTTTTTGATTATCAGGTGAGTTCTGCTTCTATTCACTTCAAATGGACAAAAGAAAAAGTGGGAAAATAAATAAATAAATAAATGAAAGTAAGATTTGATTTGATTGTTTGTTTTTCAGCGTCACTTGGAAGCAGCAGTTCATTTGTACAAGAGAAGAACAGAATGGCTTTCTGTTGGCTGCAGGAAGATCTTTGGCACAGTCGTTGAGAAAAGGTACCAACCTCTATTTTGGCCAACCTCTATTTAAGTGGCCAGTTTTCAAAGTCCTAAGAGGGCTTTTCCAACACATTTATCTCTCTATTAGTAAGCAACCAACCTGTATTAAGCGTACTGATTTATCACTTGACACAATGTCTACTGCATCCTGATTGGTCAAGGAGAGGTTTGGCATGATTTGATTGGTTTAGCAGCTTAGCAGATAACTTGAGAATTTTGCATAATCAAATCAGTTATGCAAATTGAATTTTTTCTTTACACTATTTAATATTCATTCCGAAGTTGAGAGAAAAATTGTGTTGAATTGACATTGCATTGCATTGTGGGACTGTTTTAGCTGACGAAATAGCCGCCATCTTGGAAATGTGACCCTAAAACAGTCCCACAATGCAATGCGATGCCAACTGGGCATATGGCTTATGGGCTGCCTTTGTTGAAGGTTTGGCTGCGTGGAGCTAATTCTGGTCTCTTTATTTACAGGGTTGTGATTATCGTAGATATGTCAATCTGTATGTCACCGGCTGTTCTACGATTATACGAACACATGAGGCTGTTACTAGAGCAACAAATGGCTAACAAGACCAGTTATAACGTTATCTGGTGAGTTGGGCTTCCTGTGTTGAAGAAACTTTACTGGTTTTCCCCTTTGGGAGGGGGAGTAGTAGGGGACAGTAATTGCCTGCATGCAGGCTACACTCACAGTCAAGCTATACCTTTTCAGTTGATTGCTCTACAATATCTTTTTGTTTTACCTTTTTTCCTTAGTTTTGGTGACAAGGTGGAGATGTTTCGTACTTCTATGGTGGAACCTTCTCCGGAATACCTGGAAGCAACTTGGAAGTGAGTTTTAAAATTTTTCTTCTCTGTTCTTCTCTGTTCTTCTCTTCTCGTTTTTGGGTCTTGTTATCTTGTACTTCAAGAACTAGAACCTTTCTCTTCCCTTCCGACTTAACAGATGCTTGATTTCAAAGAAAGATTATAACTTTTTGTAGCGCTGTTTTTCTTCTTCACATTCCAGGTTCTTGGTTGTTTTATTTTGTTCTTGTTGTTAGACTTGACTGAATTTCTGTCTGCTTTTAGATGGTTTCTTCAGCGTGGCTGCAAAGGCAGTAGGAATTTCCTGGACGCTTTCAGACTTGCTGTGGAAAACGATGAAGAATTAAAACATGGAATTGGTAAAGTTTTATTTGTAAAAATACGACGAAAACCCTACTACGCACGCTCGGAAAGTCACGAACAAGAACCGAGCTTTCGTCGAAACGCGTACGAATTTCCCCAAATAAAAGATGAACCTTCTAAAAACAAAAAAGAAAATTGAACAAAAAAGACCCCTGAAGTTTTGAATAAATTTTACGGACATGCGCAGTATGCTTATCGGGTGACTTCCTTAAGCATTTTCTGTATTTCTTCCCAGACGTTGAAGGGATTTACCTGATAACAAGTGGTGTTCCGGATGAACCAAAGGTCAGTGAAAACATGCAGCGTATTGGTGCTTTTTGATTGGTTCAGAGCGAAAGCCATTTTGTGGTCAGTCGCATGATGGATGAAAGTTTTTGCTGTTCTTTGATTGGTTCATAGTGAAAGCTATTTGAGAGTTAGAATTCATATTTTTAGCACTATACATATAATTGGATAAGAGTTTTTTCCGTTTTCTAATTTGTCAAGAACGAAATCCATTTGGCATACATAATGGGTTTTTTTTTCTGTCCCTTGTCGAACAATACAATGATTTTTGCCAATTAATTTTTGCTCCAGGAAATTGTTTGCGGTTTTGTAAGCGAAGCTCTCGCAGGCCGTAATACAACACTACACACGATATTCTATGAAGTAGACGACGAAGATGGACTTGTCGCCATACCAGGAAGATTCTGTGACCGAGTAGATACCGCTGTCGTACTACGAGAGATGGCCCACGTGGTACAAGGTCGTTTTCATTGGTACAGAAATGGAGGTAAGGAAGATTTCCTTATCAGAAAGATGAGGACTGTATTTTGTCAGTAGTATCTGGCTACGCAGGATAATATGCAGATTTGACTTCGATGTTGTATGCAGTCTCGCGAAAAATAGCTGCGGATTGCAAAAAAAGGTGTTACGCGCAAATTATGTGGCAATTTGCACCGCGCAGAATGCGAAAATATTTTCTACTTTCTACAACTTGAAACAATTCTTTGCGTGAGTGCATGTTACACACGTTGAAAGCTCGTACAGTCTTTTCTCAAGAAAAGTTCCACGAGAAAAAGTGTGTAAGAGCGTCTTAAGCTAATCTTGTAATAACTTTGCATTTATCTAGCAATTATCGAGAGTGATGATTTGAGGACCGTTATAAACGAGATGGATAAGGCATTTAACTACTCACAGAAGGTTAGTAGTACGAATGTCATCAGTCAACATCAACTTTACCAATATCATTTCAACCACTATCATCAGCATTAACATCAGCATACTAATATTAAAATAAAAAATAAATAACACGATCAACTTCCTTGCTTCTAGTGATTTCGATTATCATTATCAAATGATATTATTAATTATTATCATTTATATGACTAACCGCTGACCACTTGTTCGTCGTAGACCGCAATGCTCCTCGAGACTGTGCGAAGAAAAAAAGTAGAAACGGTACGTAAAATAACCAAGAGATCATTAAAAAGTCGATTATTTTGATAGCACATCTTGTCTATTGTTGATAGTTTATTAACAAATGTTGTCATCGGCAATTCTTATAGACTCCAGACTCTACGGACAGTGAAAACCAACTAGTACCAAGACCTCCCTCAGCTAGTAAAACCAAGATGGCTCTCACTCCACCAAGACACACTGCACTTACTAAAGCACGAATGGTAAGTTTCATATGCCCAGAGGCTCTACAGATGCGCGGTATACCTGTGGTATCTGTGGTGGAATGTGAAATCGCACGCATGCGCACTGGTTTTGCAGAATATTTTACGGTTTGAGAAAAGAAAGGGGTAAAAGAGCACAAACTTTGATCAAGTCTAGTCTATTAGCCTTTGTTTCAAAATTTGATTGCTAATTTATTTAAATCTTGCTTTTGTTCCAGAATTCTCTACAAGCTAGTTCCCAGTCCACGAAGAAGAGCAGACCACACAGCGCATCGTCACAGACTAAGGAATCGACGTTAAAAGCTTTGTGCTGGAAGCCTCCCACTGCTAATGCTACAAGTACTTTGATTCCTGTCCGTAAGTCCATCCATCTTACGAAAATACTATCGGGAGAGAAGGGGATTAAAAAACTATACTGTGAAGGGAGGGGAGCGGAAAAGCAGTCAAAACAGAGTGATGAAACAAAGTTGTTTAATTAGTGACTAACAGTCAAAGTAGAACATTAGAAAAGAATATAATTAGTGTATACTACTATGTGCCATGGTTTTCTTTCATGGGCCAAGTAAAATCACCCAGTATAGCCAAGAGGATGTTATCTAGCTGTTGAGCGTACTTTTTTATGTATGGTATCTGGAATGAAAGATTCAATTTTTTCTTATCTGTTCATTTTAGCTCCCGCGCCCAAGAATTTCGTGGTGAAGGAAAGAAAGTCAAGCCTGGTGAAAGCCAGTCAACAGACGTTCTATACAGAGGTCAAGAATGAGACGGGTAAGAAAGAGAACTTGTCTATGAAAATGGTAATGAAATTTGAAATAATGGAAAAGAAATGCTCTGGGAAAAAGAAAGGAATGGAATGGTGTTAAAAATCCTCTGCGCCCAGTGTGCAAATAAACCTCCTCGGCTCGGGCGTAATGTTTTCCCATTTCAGACCATGTGTCATTCCCTAGACTATCATTTCTTTGTTTAACGGTTGCACATGAGAAGACACATGAATATGGATACGACTCAAACAAARAATCTTATTCTCAAAGGAATGACACGTGGTCTGAAATGGGAAAACATTACGCCTTAGTTGAGGTCTAATAGAATGAAACTAAAAAGAGAATGGGATTAGGATGGAAGAAAAATCTTCCTACTGCACAAAACTATGAAATTAATGGGAATGAAATAGAATGCTACCAGTGCGCAAATCTTTTGAAATAATGGGAATGGAATATGAAATGAAAAAATAGAAGTTGGGAAAGATAATAGATCCTCTGCTCCAAGTGCGCAAATCTGAATACTAAAAATAATTTTGAAAAGAGACTTATGTAAGCGATTCTTATGTATTTAGGAGCGGTGTACACCCAGTATCCTACGAACATCACGAAGAAGACACGAAAACCCATAACACCGGCATATATACCCGATAAAGAAGAAGCAGTCACTACCAGAGAGGTTCGTATTTTATCTCGTAGCTTGACCAGCAAAACGATGTGTTAACCAGAGTCAGGGTTGCTGCCTGCGTTCCTGTTGGTCTGCGGATACCAGAAAGAATGCAGGCTCAAAAAAAGGGGGTTGATTGGACATGTGTGAATTTTACTTACGAAAGCGTTGTTGCTACTGCTTCTGCTGCTGCTATTGTTGTTGCTGCTGTTATTACTCTTGTTGCTGCTGCTGTTGTTGTTGTTACTATTGTTGTTGCTGCTGCTGTTTGTTGTTGCTATTGTTGCTGCTGCTGTCTACAATTGGGCTATTTTTTATTTACTTTTTTCGTCTATTTTCTCTTTCTCTTCCATCAGTGGATGCGACACTACAGCTTATCTAAACTAAAACTCGACTTGAACAGCATTGTGGGCACATCTGAATGTTCTCACGCCAAGGGTAAAGTACAAACTCTTGGCCATTCAGTCCCTGCAAGGTGAGTTTGGTCTAACTAACTTTCTTGAATAGAAAAAAGATTAAATCCAGCAAATCTCAAAACAACTAGAGCAAAAACAGCAAAGTTCAATAAGAGAGAATACACATGCTAGATAGAATATCTATCATAGGAATCGAATTGAGATAAATGGAATTTGTTTTTTTTATGTAGGAAAGAAAACCGGAGAACCCGGAGATAAAAAAATCTCACTGTACAATGAGGGATTCAGAGGAGAAAAATTATTTAAAACTAAAGAAAAATTAAGAAATTTTAGCAAGAAGACTATGAAATTTGATATCGGTGTTTTATGTTTTTCAGATACTGCACAATCTTCCCGAGTATCGAGGTCAAAGGTGTAGTAAAACACCTTCATCTCCTGCCACATGAGCTGCTTGACTACGAAGAACAAGTAGAGAAGGTTATGAAGAGATACGTCAAGAGAATGCAGTGGTTGATGAGCGGTATGTGACGAACCATAAGAGGGGGGTTAGATAATTGTAAAACCGATTACCATGATACGAGCAATAAGAAGCAATACTCCTTAGAGGGTCTTCATTGAATTCCAAACAAGGTAAACCATGGATTAAGGAATCTGCCAAAACCCCTAGAGGGGGGCTAGACAATTGTCATGGTTTGTTATTTATTTTTCAGTCATTCAGACAGGTTGCATATAAATACAAACTAAAACCCCAAGTTAATATGCAAATTAATGCTAATTATGTGTTATAAAATTATGACGTCATTTCAGGAAGCAGACGCGTATTTGGGACCGTTGTCGAGAAAAAGGTAACCATTCATATAATGATAATAAATAAATGAGATGAAATCCCTATTAATTCGTTTGACGTCTCGTTGCTAGGTGATAGTGCTGATTGACACATCGGGCTCCATGGTAACCAGCATGGATGAATTGAAGCGAGAGTTAGCTGCTCTGATGTGGGACCAGATTAGAAAACACACCACCAAGTGAGTACACAGAAACATCTTAACCTCTCAAAGATGGGAAGAAACTTTTTCCATTTTGTATCTCATTCACTTTCCGTGCATTCTTAACATTCCACGTGCTTCATCGCTGAATTTCTTCCACAGGTTTAATCTTGTTAGATTTTCAACGGAAGCGGTGCCATGGAAACCCAATTTAATGTCAACCAGTGACGAGACATGTCAAGAAGCAGTTGAATGGGTTTCGGAGTTCGAAGCTAATGGTTCCACGTGTACCCTAGAAGCGCTCCAAAGGGCTTTCGATGACCCAGAGATACAAGGAATTTATCTGTTAACGGATGGAAAACCGGTAGGTGGCAAAAAAATCTTCATGTAAACAGTTCAGCAAGTTACAGCTGCAGCTAATTCAAATCCTTTTGCTTGCATGTTGCATACATACCAAGCTTGAAGTGATTGGTCGCTATGTTAGCCTTTTGCTCTGAAAACCTTTTATTTTATACAACAGGATCATAGTACAACCATGGTACTTCGTGAACTAGCCAAGTTGAACTCAGCACGAAACGTTAGAATCCACTGTACGTCCTTTAACTGTGATGACAGGTAGGTTATGGGCGTCCACAGTCTTAAACTCTTTGCTTTCCCATCGTTTAATCGTTCATTTTGTCTGGCAACAACATACCCATTTGTTTACATTGTTTTCGTTCACAGCGCGGCAAACAAGTTTCTCCAACTTCTTGCGTCTCAAACCGGAGGAAGGTATTTAAATACATCGACTTACTATCTGTTTCCAAAAGACTCCCTGCACGATTCCACTTACTTTTAACTCTTGCGCATGCTCAGTTCTCATTCCTTCATTCCAGATTTCACCGTTGTCAAGGAGACAGTGACGGTCATGTGTTTACGCACAGGCTTCTGACGGACGGATTTAGAGATGACGAGGTAGGATTTCAATGCGCAGTAGTTTGAACTTTAAACTGTCTACCGCGAGAGAATGTGTTCTTATTATCATTATTCCTTTATCCTCAGCCATTAAGCATGCCAGTGTTCGAGGGAGACGATTTGCGTCGACTTGCCAGCGAGATCGCGTTGTGCAGAAAGTTCCTCATGCAGGCGAGATCTTACAGGTAAGCTTTGAATATTTCAAGAAAACCGCACAATGAATCCTCAACTCATACCCTAATTTTTCTTCTGCAGGGCGTTATTCCCAGACAAAACAAAAGGTAATAAACAGCATTCAAGATCAAAGTCTGTTGACAATCTTCAAGGTGGGTATTGGATACCTGTGGTGACAGTAGTAGTACAGGCGTAGTACAGTTGAATCTTATTAGAAAACCTTTTTGTTAACTTTGTGATGTTTTCCCCCCCTCTGTAGCAAAAAATGCGCCATCCAGTAATCATGAAAGAAACCCGTCTGGGATACTTGTCAGATGATGGTGGTGGTGCTGGTGATAGTGATGATATCGATGCGGCGTGCCACATTTGAACACTGCTAATGGATTTCGTACGAAAGTTCATAGTTTCGTAGTGTAGTTATTGTAAAATAAGAGTGGAAGGAACGTTTGTATTCTTATAGATATATTATCCTTTGAAAGACATTTCATACTGGATTGTACGTATATTTAACTATATTTCCATTTCATAAGAAAAGATATGTCATGATGATGATGATGATGATGATGATTAAAATAAGAGTCAAAAAATATAGTTATGAATGATGAAGCCTTTACAGCTCTAAGAATAAAACATACCATTTTAAATGGGGTTATTAAAAGAAGCCTTTTTCCTTTTACAGCAGCAGTAAGGGGGACACGCGAATCGCCGGCACACCCCCAAAAATGACACGGGTATAACCMGCAGTGACGAGGCCCTACAGGGGGTCTTGCGCGATCCGGTGGCAGCGCGAAAAGTCCTTTCTGCTGCTATGTTGGGTACCGCAAACGGAGGTTAAGATATTCCTTAGATATAGATGGACGCCATCAAGAGCATACGAAACAAAACTGTGCGTAAGCTAAGAACTCAGGTGTTGGATCGCCTGGACGCCGACTTTGCCTTCACAACATTTATGGAGGGAGATACAGATGAGACGATGAACGAAGAAAGAGCAGAAAAAATTACCGACATGATGCCCGAAGGTAACTACCGTTTGGAGTTGACGTTTATAAAGTATTTAGACGGCGAGTGGATAAT